ACCTTGCAGTTCCTGTGCCATGATGACAGGCATGTGTGCAGGGTTGCAGTGCTGTGTCTGACCTGCATCTGGCTGGTAGCAAGCCCCCAGAGACCCTGTCCTAGCTTCATCTGCCGTGTGAGCAGCTGCCCGGCCGGGTCAGGTCACATTTTTCATCAGGTCAGAAGACAGAATGTTACTGTCCTTCTAGATGCCAAATATGTGGCCAAAAGGTCAGCATGGGGTACCTGGCAAAGGCTGTCAGGGGGAACCTACCGCCTCTGAACTTGAAGTCTAAGTAGTAAGAATCCAAACCCCAGCGCTGGCTTAATGAAAGGCCTGAGGTCTAGCGAGTGTCAGCGAGAACTTGAGGTTTGGAGCGGCTCCATCACCTGTCCTGGCCACCTCCCCGTTTCTGCAAACTTCTTGCCCAGCAGGCCTGCTCAGGGGCCCGACTTCTCCCCTCCCCAGTAAGCGCCATGCCTTTCAGTTGCCTGAGCCTTATTGGGAGGCCAGGGCTGCCGCTGCCCCTCCCTGCCCCGTGACTGGGGGCCCCATGGGCAGGCCAGGGGATCAACAAGCCTGAGTCCCTCCTGGGCCCGGGCTTGCTTGGGTTAAGCCAGAGAGTGCCGCTCAGGAGCCGCTTCCTGGACGTCCGCTGTGCCCACCCCTGCCCCCAAGTTTTGGGGCGTCTGGGGACCGCTAGAGGAGGTGGTTCTCTCCTCACCCTCCCCTCAAAAGGAGTCGGCTGTTGTTTTTCTAGGAAAAGGAAGAGACACGGATCAGAGCTGTTCAGGACTTGAGAATATCTAGCCCAACCCCTTCATTTTACGGCCGCGGAAACAGGCTCCCGTGAGCCCAATGGACTTTCCCAAGGTCACAGACCAGTAAGTGGGAGCACGCCAGCATGTACCCCCGCCCAGGGCCGGCCCCCCGGCCCCGCCCCACGCCGCCCACGGTCGTTCCCGCGGTGGTCAGCACTACGCCCAGCACCCAAAACCGGGCTCAGCGGGCAACCTGAGAGCCACCCGGGCGCGGCCAGGTCGGCTCAGGCCGGCCGTCAGGGCCGGTCAGGTCGCCGTGCG